ATCCTCATCTCCGATTGGAGCTTGATTATCTCAAATATGAGCATCTTGCCTTTTTTTCCTGCCAGATTAACTTAGAAATAGTTTTTAGACTATCAAACTAATTGTATGAGATAACAAGTGGTAGCATATTATTAGAATATTATTTAAACTGGGTAATAAGGTCATTTTAACCACACTGATTCTTCCCCATAATGATATTGGTGACTTTGACCATCTTGTTATGTTATTTTTTATTTCACTCATAATTTAGGCAAGAATAACATCTCACATTTGATAAGTGTTTGGAGTGATCCATAATCCTAAATACTGCAAGTTATTTCTGTTTCCTTCTTTTTAATTTTTGAATTCTGCATGCAATCAATATTTGAACAGTTTGCCTTGTATCTAGAAAGCTTAAAAAATCTGTAATAATTTGATTCAACATCAGTTAATTATATCATCTGCGTATAATGACATTTTATAAGTCTGCAGTCCAATTATTACACCTTTTATTTGATAAGCTAATCTTATGTAGCTAGTGCTACAATCATAAGAAAAAACAGTAATACTAATGCTGGACACCCTAGCCTTGTTCCCCGGTGTAGGGTTAATGGTCTCAATATTTGGTCATGAGTTTTAATGGATGCTTCAGGATTTGAATAAAGTATGATTATCTACTGTTGAAAATTACTACCAAAACCATATTTAAAAAAAAAAAAAAAAAAACAAAATGGCCATTCAACCATATCAAAAGCTTTTCCAGCATCAAGAGTCCAAATAGCAGCAGTTCTATGATTTTGCAATGCAACCTTAATAATATTAAATAATTTCCTAATATTGTGAGTGTCTGTTTTTTATGAGGCCGGTCTGATCTGGATGTATCAATTTTTGTACAAATAATGTGAGTCTTGCTGTTAATATATTTGCCAAGATTTTATTATCAAGTTTTGCTAATGACACTGGCTGATAATTACAACAGAATAGAGGATCTTTATCTTTTTTATGAATTCATACGATATGAGAATAATTAAACACAGGAGAGAAGGATCCATTAATGAATGATGTTTGATAGGTTTGTTCAAGTATTTGCGGCAAATTGTCATATCAAGCCATATCAAGTCATATCAAGACAAGTGCCATCCAAGGTGTCTGTGGTAGACTCATTTAAAATGACTGCTATGTGGAAAGGCACATCAAGAGGGTTGAGAAAAGTGATGATCATTAATCTTGACAATGTCTTCTTTTTCATAATGTGCAAGGCATTATCCAGGCAGCTGGATTTTTTGTAGCTGGATGCTACACGGTATGATGTCCTCATCAAAGCAGTTTGCAAAGACAGACAATGGACTCTGGTAGTAAGTGCTATTTTGTCCAAAGCTGCATCCCCATCTTTAGCATGCTTAAAACCTTCATGGACATTTAGGAGTCACACAGTATATTTTTAACAGGCTATGTACCCCAAGGAACAAAGGGCCTTTTTTGTTCACCCATTTGGAGCTACTGGCGCCCAGCTTCCAAAATGCAAGGAAATAACCAGGTAAGCAAATCTTAGATGATCCCTCCTAAGTGCACCTATATTATCTCTGAGGTAAATGAAGCATTTTACGATAGCCACAAAAGCAGCATCTCATACTTTGATTCCTCTGTCTTCATGATGCAGAGGCTTCATCAGAGGGAAAAATATCACTGCGTCCAGGTGGTCATGCAACACCATTGATCACCCCCACCAGCAGGCCTCTACATCATGTGGGGTGCTGGTCTGTAAAATAAGTTTTCCATCTCATCAATTAATCCATCTCTTTCAAAGAATTGAAAGTGAACTAACTTTAATCTATATTCAAAGTGGCAGAGCACATATGAAAAATGGACAAAGGCTTGACTTCCCAGTTGACCAGAACAGGGTCAACACAATGAGGCTGGAAATGGCCCTAACATTGATTTATGAGACAGGTATGATTGTGATCGTCTTGCATAAATCTTTATAAATCAGGTTTTGCATAAAACTGCGAGTACTGAAGGTATAATAACTATATTTGTAACAGATACACTGTTGGATCGCTGTCACTCCTGAGTGGAGAGAAACACAGGAGCAACTGGAGAGATCTATGTCGACTGTGTAAGAAAGCATCTCTGCTCCATTTAAGGTTCAATTTTCTCCTTGTGATCCTTAAGTGTATGTTTGTTTTTTCTTTCAGATTGAATGCACTGCCTGTGGCTACTGGCACCACTGGGTCTGTGTGGGGCGGCCTCCTGCAGACCAAGAATAATTCCAAATGATGTCACTCTTGGGAGGATTCTTCTTCAGTTGATCCCAGTTTAGTTTATGAAGAATGGCAGCCGTTTCAGGCAGAATTTACAGTTACACTGGGAAAAGTTAAGGGCCAACTTACAAATTGTTTTCACTGGCAGCCATCTTTGCTCTTAATTTATTTATTTATTTGTTTTTTTTTTTTTTTTGCTTTGCACCTTTGCAGCCACATATTAAAAATGAGTATTTTAGATTTTGTTGTATGTATGAATGGCTTGTTTTGTGAAAAGGCAACTATATAAATTTGAAAAAACAAAGGCAAGCCACAGAGTTAACATCAAGCATGAGAAACATCACGTCACTCTTTGATGCATCTTTCATCAAAAGTTTAAAACAATATTTTATTTAAAGTCCCATCTCCAGTTTAGTACATCTACTGAGATCAAGCGTGCTGTGTGTTTAAAGATGCAAAAAAACAGTGCGCTGTTTTTTTGTCAATGTTTGATGGCGACTACAAGAAAACATCACATCTTTGTGCAGTTGCCAGCTTTCCTTATTATGTCTGGCCAGCTTATGTTATCAGTAACTGATCATGCCAGGAAATGGCCACTTTGGTCTGTTTAAGACTGTAATGATGTGGTTTAGAGAAACAGTTGAAGAAAATCTGCCAGGCCTAACTTGAACTTTATGGAAAAGGCTAAAATTAATTAGTCCATGTGTTTTTGCTTGTCAATTAGTACAAATACAATATTAGAAATGTTACAACCCAGTCTTGGGTTGAGCTGCACATAAAAATAGCTGCGGTGAGAATCCCCTCTTCTGTCCCCAGAAACGCAGAAACACGCAGTACGTGTGAAAAAGGTTGACAGAATATTTATTATAATGCTTACAAACTGTTCTTTTTCTTCGCAAAAATAGAAATAAGTCTCTGGGGTGGGCCATCCCAAGCAACAAACAAAGAATCTAAAAAAATAAAGAAGACTGATTAACCTAACCATAAATCAAAAGACATCAACTTACCCAGCTCCCTCGACATAAACAGGAGAAAATAAACTTAATTAAAATGGCACCCACTCCTACCAGCTCTTGCAATCAGTTCAAAGTATACAATGCACACAGCCATCGCAATAAGTTCAAATATACAGTGTATCGTCTTGCAACTAGTTCACCAACTATACATCGTACCGTGTCGCAACAAGTTCAGCAAATATACGTTGTGTCTCAAAAAGCTTCTCAAGGAGTCATATAAATGTGCCACATTACACACAGAAACAACAACTGCCTTCTGGGGCGAAAAGGAAAATCTGTCTTCAAACTGCTTGTGCGGATATTTATGACGTCCAGGTTCCAGCAGGTCCAATCAATTGGAGCGTCAGCAGCAGGATCACCTGAGACATGAAAGAAACCACAGAGGGCGTCAAAATGGCAGACACTTCTTAGTATATGTCACTGAATGCAACAGTTATTATTACAGCACATGCTCTCCTTTCAAATTTCTGACAAAAATTGAGACTTCACCCTCTGACTTTAGATAATGCGACTTTGTCAAACTTAAAAGGAAAAAAAAAATCTAGCAGACAGAATGCAGAATTTCATTATGTTTTACCCTGACTCTGCAGAGACTAAATCATCTGTAAATCACATCTATTAAAAATCACTCTCAGTTCTGAGGCCATCATACAATGGGTCTATTAGGCGCATTCAATATTCTCATTGATCCTCCAAATACCGTGTATGAATACCTTATTTGAATCATTAATGTGCTAGAGGGAAAAAAAATAAAGCATCCTGAATGTGTTTTATGGTGGGAAAATAATTGTGATTTATGTCCCTTTAAACCTAATGCCCTGCTATGTGTGAAGTGCCATCATGTGTGATTGTGGGTTCTGGTACTCTGCAATCAAACTAAGGGGGGGAATGACCCAGAGGCCACATTTCAGGCATGTTCATTTGGCCTCACCCTGATCTCATAACCCAGGAGGATTTCCTAGACATTGAACAAATATTATACATGCTGTCCATAAATTGGAATGCCAATACTCAGATTCACGCGCATCCACTGATGATTTCCATGTCTTCCGCAGGAGGCTACAAATGTACATATGAACTCTGAATTACAAAGGGAAAGAAGTGCAGCCTTCATAATTATGACATTTTTAGTGGCATATCACATTCTTACGCTGTTGTCCCAAAGTATCAAAAGGACGAGCGCAAACAAAAGAACAAAATACAAAAATCATCGACGGCACAGAGTCAAAAATAGAAAAACCCGCAAAATACAAGGAATATTGTATTATATACTGTATTATAAGGATGGTTAATACAATTAGACAAGAGTATAAACAAGACCGGTAAACGCTGGGTCTAGGACACAGGAAATCTAAATATGCGAGAGCAAATAAGACTGGGAAACGTAGGAGCTAGGAATACAAGGAGTACAATAGATGATGCCCGGTGACCACTGAACAGAGAGTTTAAATAGGCAAAGACCCAGTTAGCACTCTGGGGAGTATGAACGATGATTAGAAATGATACACTTTATTGAACCCCATGGGGTAATTTGTCCTCTGCATTTGACCCTTCCTATGGTTAGGAGCAGTGGGCAGCCACAGCGCAGTGCCCGGGGACTAACTCTAGTTCTAAAGCCAGGACCTTGGTCAGGGGTACTGGTAGGGGTGTTCCTATAATACATGTTTTTGTGGGTTGGGGAAACCGGAGTACCCGGAGGTAACCCACGTGAACACGGGGAGAACATGCAAACTCCACACAGAAACGCCCCAGGCCGGATTCGAACCCGTGACCTTCTTGCTGTGAGGCGACAGCGCTAACCACCTAGCCACCGTGGCACCCCCTTTCTTTTTTATATCTTTTTGTGAAATGAAATGGAGACTTGATTGAAGTTGTGGGCGTGGTCACTGGGCTGCCAGGCACGGACGTGACAGTGGGGTGATTACAATCACAGCTAATGATTATGCCTGGGAGTACCCAGTGACATTGAACCTGATTATTAATTAAACTTGATTTATAAGTTGATATCGTAACTAAAGAGGCAATTACTTTTTCACATAGGGCCAGGTAGGGCTGGATAGCTTTTTTTCCTTCAATGAATGAAATAATCATTTAAAAATTGCATTTTGTATTTGCTCGGGTTATCTGTCTAATATTAAAATTAACTTGATGATCAGAAATATTTTGTTGTGGCAGATAAGCAAAAATAGAAGAAATTAGGAAGGGGCAAATACTTTTTCGAAACACTGTATTATTATTATTACCTCCGCCCAATGAAGTTGGAGGAGGTTATGTGATCATTACCGTTTGTCTGTTGGTTGGTTTGTTGGTTTGTTTGTAAGCAGGATTATGCAAAAAGTTATGGATGGATTTTTCTCAAATTGGGTGGAATGATTAAGTATTGTTTAAGGAAGAGGTGATTTGATTTTGGGAGGTCAAGGTCAAAGGTCAAGGTCAAGGGCATGGAAAAGGTCAAAAACAAATTAAAAACATATTTGCACAAAGACTACAGGACTGCATAAACACAGGGGTTGCTAGCTAATACTGGCAAAAATAACATTGAGTACACTGGCGGAGGTACTTGCGCTCTCTGAGCGCAGCTCTAGTTATTATTATTATTATTATTTAATAAATGATTAAAAATGTGATTTGTATATTAAGGAAAGGAGTAAAGGCAGGACTGCTTCAATATACAGTGTGTACATAAAAAGAACACAAAGAAGCACGTCCATACAGGTTTATGGTCCGTTAGAAATGTTGCTGCATTGGGCAGACTCCAAAAATTTCACTCAATGCTCCAGGCAGTTTGCTGCCCATCCAAATGATCGATCCAATGTATGGCTCAGTGAGTTCCCAGGTGGCACAGTCACTTCCTAACACCTACACCCCTATCGAACCGCAGTCAGTTCCAGCTGTCAGTCTACAAGTGTTTCGCAAATTTCTTCCTGTCTGGTGACCAGACCCACATCTAAGGGTGCATTCAGATGAAACGTGAATCAAATTTTTGCTCAGTGAAATAACTTGCAGATTCAAAGCAAATATGCAAATAGAAGCAAATTGGTGCAAGCAATGATGTAAATGATGGAAATGACAAAATGTGCATCATTTGCATATTTGCACGAATTCAAATTTTTCAACTCTCACAAAAAGTTGTGATGCTGTGTTGCAAAAGCCTATCAGCACTGAGATCTTCCCAATCTATGGTAAGCATGTAAGTTGTATTGAATTTATATGGTTCTCCTTAGTTCAACTGAAGCAACATTCATCCAGATGCCCTTTCTGGAGAAGGCTGTGAAATTCATTAAGCTGCATGCACCTCCAAAAGACAACCCCAATTCCGAAATAGTTGGGACAAAGTGTAAATTGTGAATAAAATCAAAACGCAATGACTTTCAAATCACACCAGCCAGTATTTTATTCACAATAGAACAGAGATAACATTGCAAATGTTGAAACTGAGAAATTTTACAATTTTATCCACAAAATGAGCTCATTTAAAATTTGATGGCTGCTACAGGTCTCAAAAAAGTTGGGACAGGGGCCTGTTTACCATGGTGCAGCATCCCCTCTTCTTTTTAACACAGAGTGGAGGCGTCTGGGCATTGAGGAGACAAGTTTCTTGAGTTTAGCCATTGGAATTTCATCCCACTCTTGTTTAATACAGGCTTCCAGCTGCTGGAGAGTTTTGGGTCTCCTTTAACGGACTTTTTGTTTAATTATGTGCCAAATGTTTTCAATCGGTGAAAGATCAGGACTGCAGGCAGGCCAGTTCAGCACATGGACTCTTCTACTACGAAGACATGCTGTTGTAATAGCTGCAGTATGTGGTTTTGCATTGTCCTGCTGAAATACACAAGGCCTTCCCTGGAATAGATGTCATCTGGAGGGGAGCATATGTTGCTCTAAAACCTTTATATACCTTTCAGCATTCATGGTGCTTTTTAAAACATGCAAGTGTCCCACACCATATGCACTAATGCATCCCCATACCGTCAGAGATGCTGGCTTTTGAACTGAACGCTGATAACAGGAGGGGTGGTCTTTCTCCTCTTTAGCCCGGAGGACACCACGCCCATGATTTCCAACAAGAATGTCAAATTTGGACTCGTCTGAGCACAGGACACTTTGCCACTTTGCTACAGTCCATTTTAAATGAACCTTGGCCCACAGAACACGGCAGCGCTTCTGGATCATGCTCAACAATGGCTTCCTTTTTGCATGATAGAGTTTTAGGTGGCATCTGTGGATGGCATGGCGGACTGTGTTTACAGACAGTGGTTTCTTGAAGTATTCCTGGGCCCATTTAGTAATGTCAATGACAGAATCATGTCGGTGAGTGATGCAGTGGCATCTGAGGGCCCGAAGATCACAGGCATCCAGTAAAGGTCTTTAGCCTTGTCCCTTACGCAGAGATTTTTCCAGTTTCTCTGAATCTTGTGATGATGTTATGCACTGTCGATGATGAGACCTTCAAAGCCTTTAGAATTTAATGTTGAGGAACATTGTTTTTAAAGTATTCCACAATTTTTTTACGCAAGTCTTCACAGGTTGGAGAGCCTCTGGCCATCTTTACTTCTGAGAGACTCAACCTCTCTAAGACATCCCTTTTATAGCCAATCATGTTACACACCTGATGCCAGTTAACTGAATTACTTGCTAAATGTTCTTTCAGCTGATTCTCTTAGACAGCCCTTTTTTGCCTGTGTTCCAACTTTCTTGAGACTTGTTGCAGCCAGAAAATTTGAAATAAGCTCATTTTGTGGATAAAAAGGTAAAATGTCTCAGTTTCAACATTTGAAATGTTATCTATGTTCTGTGGTAAATAAAATATTGGCTCATGTGATCTGAAAGTCATTGCTCTTGGATTTTATTCACAATTTACACTTCGTCCCAACTATTTCGGAATTGGGGTTGTACTTCAAAAACACTCTAGTGATCATATTCACAGCAATAATGCGAGGCAAAAATTCACCTTGCGTTTGTTGCGAACACACCGGAATTCTCAGCTCAAAGACTTGGGGGAGGGTCCCCCATTCCATGTCAAAACAATATAAAAATTGTTACAACCCATACCCTGGGCCCCCATCAGGCATTGACCCAGGACACGTATCCCAGTTTCATACATTGATGACTTGCGGGTCAGTAAGTGACATTATAAAGAAATGTTTCAGAAAGGAAAATGTTTTTACTCTAATTAATTTTATAGTGGCCATTAAGTGCCAGTGTTTCTGCCAACTATCTTGCAGTTTTCCGCAGCTTCCAATGCACTTGCTAAGCTCTTCATTAGGAACACGTACACCTGCATATTCTTGCAATCATATAGCAGCTATGCAGTCCATACAATCATGCAGCTGCAGGTCAGAAGCCTCAGATACTGTTCACATCAAACGTCAGAATGGGGGAAAAAATGATCTCAATGGCTACAACCGTAGCATAGTTGTTGGAGAAATTTTGTTATTTAAATAAGTTTTAAGTAGTCAGGGCAACAATTATGAAGTAAAGGCAGCTTCAAATCCTATATTTAACCATTTTAATTTGAATCAAAACTCTACAACTCTAAACATGTTCAAATAACTAAATGTGTCACCATATTTTTTACAGTGCGCTAAGGATTTTTGTGCGCAGTAGTGTCTGCATAGAGACTGCACATGGAATGATGTGAAAAACGGAAATAAAAAAACATGATTGGCAGTTCTGCGACAGGAAGCACCTCACTGATGAGATAGATCAGTGGACATTGGCCAGACTGGTTACAGCTGATTGAAAGGATACAGTACGTCAGATAACCACTCTTTCCAACTGTGCTGAGCAGAAAAGCATCTCAGGGAACACAACATGTCAAACTTTGAGGTGAATGGATGACAACTGCAAAACACCACATCGGATTCCTCTCCTGTCAGGCAAGAACAGATATCGAGGCTGCAGTGAGCACAGCCTCAGCAAAACTGGACAGTTGAAGATTGTAAAAATGTAGCCTGACCTAATAAATTATGCTGTGACTCGTAAATGGTACGGCCAGAGTTTGGTTTCAGCAGCCCTCACATGGACCCCACTTTCTCTGTGTCAACACTTAACGCAGCTTCTGGTAGTGTAATGATATATATACATGTATATATATATATATATATATTTCTTTTTGTTGTTGTTGTTGTTGTTTTGGAAAACTTTGGGCCCCTGAGCTGAATAGCAATCAATCATTGTTTAAAAGCCACAGGCTATTTTTGATCTCCTCATGCTTCCCTCTATGGCCACAATTTACCCATCTTCCACTGGCTACTTCCAGCATGATAATGCACCCAGCCACAGAGGTCAACTCAAACTGGTTTCATTTATATGACAATGAGTTCAGCGTATTCCTTAGTCATCAGGAGTGGAATGCAACAGCTGGGCGTATGCCTGGGTGTAATGCTACATCTGGCCAAAAAGTGAAAGTAAAAACCAATTTAACGTTATGAATAGGGCACCTCTTAACCTTGTTATGGATTTTCACTTCTACTTCTGATATTAAGCATGTGTAAGTTGGACAGTCAAACTTGTTAAATGGATAAAAATAAGGGGGAAATTAAAAATTGTAGAGACACAACCAGGAAAGAAAAAAACAGCAATGGCAAGGAGTCAACAAGTGTTTATAAAATAAATAATGATAGGACATTAAGATGAGAATGAGTCCCTCTGGACTTCTTTTCAGGTAGTAAGCAGTCAGTAAATTGAGAAGTTTCGCTTTGGTAGGCATACTGTGTTTGAGTTAATGAGTTCTCTCAGCTTAAGCTGGTATTGGACAGAGACAACTGATCTAATTCCATGTTAGTTCTTTGTGTTGATGTTTCACTTAGCTTAT